AAGGAAGGAAGGAAGGAAGGAAGGAAGGAAGGAAGGAAGGAAGGAAGGAAGGAAGGAAGGAAGGAAGGAAGGAAGTCCAGTAGTTAAGAGCACCGGCTGCTCTTCCAGAGGGCCCAGGTTTGATTCCCAGCACCCACATCCTTCATCCTTGCTTATAAGTGTAACTCAAGTCCCAGGTGATCTGAGGAACCAGGAACACATGTGTAGACAGACATAACACTCATACAACTTTATTTTAAAAATTCATAAAACCATATATGAATCCTAGGTTATCCTTCTAGGACAATCAAGGAAAATTATGAAACACTTAGATACAATCCTACAAGTGACTGTCCATATACTTCAAATTCTGTTCTAGTTTCATGAGTTAGAATCTACCAGTAAAATCTCATAAAGAAAGTTAAAGGTCATAAAGTCTTTGTGAATTTATCCACTAAAAAGAAAAAACTGATACCCTGCCTATAATGACACCGAAGGCTCAAGCAGATCTATGAACTTCAAAAAAGAACTAGCGGGTAGAAGCTGAATCTGCAAATGAAGAATTGAACTAGCCAAAGGTAGTAAAAGAAAAAAAAAATTATTTCAAAATTTAGTCATTTTGTATTGTAAGTAGCATTAAAATGTTGAAATTTTGAATTAACCACTGAAATATCATCATAGCATGGCAATAATAGTCAAACAACATATACTTCACACTTACTGAACATTAGATCCTGTAAAGCAGGTGCAATTATTGTTTCTCTTCTACAGAAGAGCAATTTAAAACTAAATAAAAATAAATAACTAATTTTCAAAAGGTCTCACAATACAGGCAGTGTGATTTCTGAACCAGCACTTCTAAATTTTATTTTATGCACTGTACTTACTAATACAGCATTTTTTTATCTTTAACTCACAACAATAAAATCTGTAAAAATGCTGAACAAGTATCTCACTTTTCTTTCAAAATAAAGCAGAGCAAACGTACTTAGCCACATGATTCACACAAAAAATAAAATGGCTCTCTTCAATGTAGATGAACATGTCATTTCAAGGAAAAGTAAACTCACCAGCTAAAAACTTAGCAATATACTTGACAGCCTACTGTTTTGCTTCACATGTTCATCTCACACAAACTGTGAATTACAGTATTATGCTTATCCTTTCTCTATCATCTACCATGCCATTCAAAACTGTCTGATATACTTAAGATTATACCAACAGATTAAAACTTCTGGGTAATATTAAGTCTCAACTACTTTCTTAGAGCCATTCTTCACTTTGTAAATGGTCAAAAAAAATTAAGTCTTGAGCCAGGTGTGGAAGTGCCCATCTTTAATCCCAACATAGGCTATGTGAGTTCAGGGCCCCTCACTCTTCAGGTCAGCAAAGTCTAGGCAGTGAGACTCTGTTTCGAATAATAATTATCTCCGACAAAGAACTGTCTAAAATTAAACACATAATGAATGACACTTGGCAATTTCTACAATGATTTCCTAACACCTGAATTCCCTTCTACATTTTAATACACTGATTTCTAATCTAATGTCTTTAAATTTTTTTCATTCAAAACTCTATTTTCTCAGAGCACCTTGGTTTCAGATACTTTTAGTGAACCAATGCTCTGGTATCCCCTATGTAATCAAACAGCAACAATTAAAGAGTATTTTTCTTTCTTGTTCTCAAAACTTTAACAACACCCTAAGTTTTTAATAGCTTACAAGTCATTTTCTGTAGTTCTAGAGAAAGTTTTCTCAGGATTTCTCTGAGGATGTGCACAGGCACATGGAGGGGGCAGGGTACTAAGCCCAAGACATTTTGTTCCTATTTAAAAAAAAAAAAAAAGCTAAAAAAGCTAGCAGCCATGTGTCAATAGAAAAAAAATTCTTGAAAAGTAAGTGAATGAACGAACATATTCAGCAATTTAAGAAGTTTCAACCTCTTGAAACTGAAGTGATTATGTACACTAGAAGAGAAAAGGGACACTCTAGGCAAAAACTGAAATACAAAAATTACTTTCAGAGAAATATCGGAGCTTAGTCTGGACTTTGTTCAAAAGTGTACTTTTAAGAAAGCAAAATGTGCCATGCAGTGGTGGTACACACCTTTTATTCTCAGAGGCAGGCAGATTTCTGTGTGTTCAAGGTCAGCCTGCTACAGAGTGAGTTCCAGGACAGCCAGGCTAATACCTATTTAGACACCTGAAACATAAAAACTGTAGTCCTGGTTTTCATAGAGCAGTTTTTCTAAGCAGGTCCATAGTAAACAAACGCCTCAAGTCTTTTCAAGTTTCTGCCTGTGCTGAACCTCATTCGCAGCGGTCCTCAGCCATGCGCAGCCTGTGTGGGCACATCTGCCAAAGTGTGAGTTGTTAAATTCCTGCCTGAAAACCTAGCCTTCTGTTTCTCCATTCCCTTCCTTGTATATTTATTTGCAAGTTCACTTTCACCCCAAGACCATATGAAGGACCATAAAGAATCACAGCAGAGCTCTCCAAAGTAGTGCTTTCCCACTTTATGACACCAATCCAATGCCTGTCTCTGTGTGTGTGGCTGAGTGCTGGCTGTCCGTGTCTCTCTATGAATGCCTATGTGTATGAGTAAGTCTCCAAAATCTCAAACTCTTAAGATAATTATATTTCAAACTGTCACTTGCTGCCTTCCACCTTTTACCAAAGAGAGATCAAAGGCTATCAAACTTTCCTTAGCTGATTCCCAGACTATGTTAAATTTTAATGATGTGGCTTTAAAAACGATTAAGTTTCAATTTCTCTCAATTTTCCAAAATTATTAACCTAACCTAGTTCCTACCTACTCTTACAGCATGAGAATATTCAGCATTGTGTACTCAAGAAACTTATACATACATATGAACTAATTTGGTGCAATAGATAAACCCACTGTTCTTCCACTCGGATGCAAGAGCACAGTAAGAAATTACACCACTCATGCTCTTCAAGAAACATCTATAAAGTGTAAAAGGGACAGGAGAAAACTTCGGTCCCACCACTGAGTCATTTATCATCTTGACACATCACTTGTACAACTACAAAATAAAGCTTAACATCTCCGGTCTTAACTCTTTTTAAAATAGCCCATTTCACTTATGCAACAAGTCTTTCTGCTGCTAAAGAATTATCTGAATGTGTGGCTTCATCGGAGCTAGGATGACTCCTCAACGTCCTGTTTACATTGATACCATCACTGAAAAATAGAGTATTCGTTTTAAAATAAGTGATAATGGTAATGATGATGAAAACAAGAATCATTGTGAACATAAATGACCGGCAAAGAGAACAGTGGGAAGGGGGGAGGGGGAGAATCTAAGTACAGCAAATGCTAAGGAGTACTGATTTTTCTCTCAACATCTGTGCTCTGGAATGGCGCTATAAACAAAAAACATAAAGATGCTACAACAGAACACTGCTTCTTTCAACTATCTCTTCTATAACATACACCATCCACATCTTCAAAATACCAAACACTTCATTAAGAATTTTAAGAAACGTAGGAACTGAGAGATATGGGTCAGCAAACTGAAAACACTTGACAAGGTTTGAACCCAAATACTAAGTACAGCAATATAATCTGCTGTGATCAATTTAAAAATCTCATTGTAAAATAAAGAAGCAAAATTCATAATGTGGGTAAAGTCTCGATTGTTCGATCCTTGTTTAAAAGATCTGTACGAAGACTGAACATCAGGTAGACATCAAAGCACTTTGCCACTTCCCTCAAATCACAATCACGCTCTGGTAATGATTACTGACTAGCAATAATAAACACACATTCGAACTATAACGACTAGGAAAAGGCATTTTGCTACCCAAAGACAAGAAGGGGCGTTTGAGGAAAAGGGCCATCTAAGGAAAGCGCCTCGGGCTGGAAGGTGCTACAACACTCTCTCCCCTCTCCCTGGGTCCCCAACCCCCGCCCCGTGTCAGATGATCAGTTATTTAGCACCATTAACACGTACTTATCGACTACAGGTTCATTAAATTACACGTCCTGTCGGCAGGCAGGACTTTAGGATTCCCTTATCAAACTAGGCGAAAGGAGTCCAATGTCTGGGTCCTCAGCACAAAAGCGCGCGTTCCCCCAAGGTCCGCGGCGCCTGGCTCCCCCGATGCGGGAGCAGGGATCGGCCTCGGTGCGGCCCGGCTCCGCGAGCCAGCGGAGTCCGACGCGCCAAGGCCCGGGGCCTTC